AACAAATTTACTTTCAACCAAAAGACAAAACAAAGACAAATATATTTCACAGTGTTAAAGAATACACAGTTTAGCAGAATTGGCAGCAACCGAACAAATTTACTTTCAACCAAAAGACAAAACAAAGACAAATACTATTTCACAGTGTTAAAGAATACACAGTTTAGCAGAATTGGCAGCAACCGAATAAATTTACTAAGCAATCTAAGTGAAATGGCTAATCTAAGTGAAATTACGAGTAAATTTATCATTAAGTTAAATATGGAAAATCTTAAACTTACCTCGTTGCGTAGAGTATGAACCTCATTCTGCAACGATACTATCATCTCACGTAGAGCGGCAACCTCACCACGTAAAGTTGACACCTCCACACGCCATGCACCATCGTTATCGCGTAGAGTACCGATCTCCTCACGCAAGGCATTGACCTCATCACGTAACTCCCTTGACTCATCCCGTTGAGGTGGAGGTGGAGAACAGGGAGATAGGAGTCGTGGCATCTTTGCCGGTCGCCTATCATGAGGTGATGGTGGAGAAGAGGCTCGATGATGTGACGGGATAGGTGATGGCTCTCGTTCTAGAGGTGTATAGTCGGGCCGATCGGGTGATGGCTCTAGGTGAGGTGATGGCTCTCGAATTGGAGGAAGTGGATGCTGCTCATCATCCGTGCCATCAAAAAAATTCTGACTAGCTTGCCACCAATCAGTGGCAAGCTCTTCCTCCGTGGGTGTCAGTCTTTGTAATGGAATGTTGGCCTCCTAAAATATAAAAACTCAAACAAAGTTAAACGTCTACTATTAATAACTTGTTTATATATTATATGAAAGTATGTGTGTTAACTTACATTATTTATTGTGGCATATGGTATTAAGTCTTCCCAATCCAACAGAGTTTTCCTCTTCCAGGAAATAGCCCTGGGAATATCATTTGACGTTTTTATTGCATATGTACGCATGCTGGGGAAAGCCTCGAATATCCAAATCTACAAACAATATAATAACAAAATTAGTAATTGTTAAATAATTAATTATAATTTTAGAAACATTATATAGAAATTCTTACCTTAAAGGCCCAAACAAAGCCTGACAAAGTGTATTTGGACCCATCGCCCCGCAAACTTTTGCGGTCATCAAAGGCAGACGACAACTTAGTCCAGGTAGCTTTCCATATATACGAACCCCACGGAAACAGATTCCATGCATTCAGGTCCTCTACCAATATTATTAGCTCCCGATGAATAGGTTGTCTGGCCTCTCTGCCTAAAAAGCCGGCATACACAAGTAGTAGAAGGCATACTCGGACAACATCGACGTCTTCCATCCGAGTGAAACCAGCTTTCTTATTAAATAATTTCTTCAGGTCGTCGACATGTAGGTTCGGCTTCTCCATTGACTCATCCGGAAAAACCCGGGATAACCATGATGGGCGGGCGATATGACGAGTGTACCGGCTTACATCATCGTGTCCGAATCGTAGACCAGTGATTAAGCAGAACTCCTTCCGCCCAAAGCAAGTATACGCTGGTGGAAAATGAAACCATATCTCTTCCTCACCACGTTGTATACTGTCGGGTAGATTTGATGTCATGGTCTGAAGCCACAAATGGGTCAAATTAGCATCTCCACCCGGATGCTGTACTCTCAGCCATGGCCCGAAGCAGGTTTCCTCAAACAATTGTCTTTGAGCAGGTGAAAGCTTCTTTGCAATTGTAGTGGCCAGGCTGACTTTATTTCTCAAGGTCAATTGAGCCGAAAAAAATTTCTACAAAAACAATAAACATACCAAGTTAGATATACCAAAAACTACACTGTGAAGATATACCAAAAACAATAAACATAAAAAGTAGTAGTTTATTCTTGAAACTAAAATTTGCAACACTGTTTTGTCTTTTGGTTGAAATGAAAATCGCAACGAGAGAATCGCAACGCGAGATGACAATCGCAACGAGAGAATCGCAACGCGAAATGAAAATCGCAACGAGAGAATCGCAACGCGAAATGAAAATCGCAATGCGATTTTGGTTTCGCGTTGCGATTCTCTCGTTGCGATTTTCATTTCGCGTTGCGATTCTCTCGTTGCGACAGTCATTCTCTCGTTGCGATTTTCATTTATCTCGTTGCGACTCTTCTGCAAATTGAAACTTGAATGGATTGCATTACTTCAACCAAAAGACAGAACAAAGACAAAGACAAATACTAACTTGAAAATCGCAACGAGAGAATAGCAACGCGAAATGAAAATCGCAACGACAGAATCGTAACGCGAAATGAAATCTAAGTGAAATGGTTAATCTATTATTGAAATGACCAGTAAACTTATCATCAGTTTCAATATGAAAAACCTACAATAATGCAAACATTTCAAAATAAAAATAATTAAAAAAACTAACCCTCGGAGGTTGATTTTCCATTTCTGAATATTGTGAGGGATTTCTGACCGTGAATGGTTGTGAGGGATTTCGCCGGAGATGGGGACGGAAATCTTCGGAGATGGGGACGGATTTCTTCGCCGTAGAGAGTGAGAGATGGAGATGGGACTGAGTTGTGATTTTAGGTTTTAGGTTATGAGTTGCGATTACGGGATTTTGTCTTAATATTCTTTTTGTAATTTGAAAATAAAATACGCGTAGCGATTATAATGGCGCTTTAAATATCGCGTTGCGATTTACGGATACGCGTTGCGATTTTATGTATTATCATTGCGATTTACGGATACGCGTTGCGATATACGGATACGCATTGCGATTTACCCATACGCGTTGCGATTTACGGATACACGTTGCGATTTACGGATACGCGTTGCGATTTATGTGTTCGCGTTGCGATTTTCATATTCGCGTTGCGATTATGGAAAATCGCAATGCGAATTTCTACTATCGCATCGCGATTTTCAAGAATCGCGTTGCGATTTTGGAAACTGATTTGCGATTCTGGAAACTGATTTGCGATTCTGGGGATCGCGTTGCGATTTTTATTTCGCGTTGCGATTTTGTTGGTCATTTTGGCAAATCCAAAAAAAGTTGGTTAAAATCGTATATTATAACTTTTTTTTGGTCACTGAGGCGATTTTCTCTTGTTAAATTAACGAGTGTTCGACCAAGAAAGATCCATCGACTAAAGAAACCAAAAGTGTCCGACTGAATTGGGGTCGAAACAGGTTCAAATACATGCTTATAAATTGAATCTAATAAAACCACATATGTCTATGTGAACAAAGTATAGATAGCAAAATGTGCTTTTAAAATAGATTTTTTAATACGAGTGAACGTATGATTTTACGTCAACAAATAAATTTATAATATTATAATAAGAAAATAGTTAAAAAAAATAAAAAAAATAAAAATAAAAATTACAAAATTTATAAAAATTTGTAAGTTTTAGAGGGCGGCTGCAATTTCACTTTGCTACTTCATCTTCAGTTGCTGCTGCAGTTGCTACTGCTTTGAGTTCGACAGCCAAAGGTTATGGCACCTTCTTCTCCATTGATTCTTGCTCCACTGCCTCTGATGGTTCTGTTTCTGTTGGCTTTGCCTTCGATGGCAGGTCATCATCGGTCTCGGTCTCAGCGGCTCCCTTCTTTTCAGTGTGCAAATGATGCTTTCGTTTATGGTCCTTTTTTCATACCGACTATTAGTTATATCAAAATCAATAGGAAAACATTTGTAGGATTAATATTATTTCTTCCTTTAGTTTCGCTTTCTCACCAACCAAACGGTACAAAAAATCAGTCAAACTCCAGTGAAACAGATAAACATATTGCAAGACGAGTATGAAAGTATTCAAATGAAAGTGATTATTCCCTTTATTTATGCAATATATTAATACTATAAAAATGAATTAAAAACGTAAACAATATAGTCACGGTATCAGAAAGTGATACCTCGTTCAACAAGTTACTAAGAGATTCTCCCTTGGTTGCTTCATTATCGACGACAACATCAGCACCCTACTTCGCTTCGGGAGCAGCCGCAACGGCTTCTTTCGTCGGCTCGGGAGGCATCGCAGCAGGGACACTGCTGTCGTTACCCTTTAAAACCTTGGGTTTGGTGGCGCAACCTCCCATATTTCCTCAGCTTTCAGAAACCAGATAGAGCCGAATCTAAACAATTTGTGGTAAAGAAGAATACAAAGACAGACAAAACGACAACGGAAACTAATTGATATATTTTCCAAAAAATATTTGTAATAAGAAGAACAAGTGGATCAAGCTGTAAAGGTTTTGATCACGTTAACGTTGATTAAGAGAATTATTACCATGTTTCTGGATTTATCAGTGGGCAAATGAAGAAGTTGAGGCTACAGCTATTAATATCTTTGTAAATGACTCCTTTTCAGCTTGTATTTTGGAAGGAGAAGGGAGCATATGCCATGAATGGAATTGGGTTGTAATAGAGTTGTGTGGGACATGTCAATGCACGTTATTTGAATATAACTAGTGATCTTAATTATTTAAGAGAGTGTTGTTCTTCTTAAATATTTTGTATTCGAATAGTTACATTTACAGGATATGTGCACATCATCAATAATTAAAAAAATATGATAAACAAATACTATCTTATAATCATCATAACATATTAAAAAGACTATTACAATTCACATTGAATAATAAAATAAAAAAATATTTTTATAATTTTAAATTCCATGTAATTTATGACCGAATATTGGCTTACATGTTCCGAGTATACATCTGTATATGCCTATGAGAATGGATTATTTAACTACAAAACCAAACCCAGATTTAACTACAAAATACAAACAAAATACAAAATGCCAAAAAGTCAACCAGTTAAAATTATTTCAAATAGAAGCAATGTCAAAGCTAAATGATTACATTAAAAATATTTCTACTTGAACAACAAAGATAAGAGTGAGAAGAAAGTTCAGTGATGAAAAAGATAATTTACCCTTAAAATATATACGATTTCGTACAATCCCTGTCGAAGAGAAGAGGACGACCATCTCGGCCTTTTTTCTGTTTCTCCACAAAAGGGATCATTTAAAAATAGTTAAAATCAGTTCTTTTTACTCAAAGAGCAAAAAACCAGAGCTTTGATCGGTGCTGCCACTTATTAGGGCAGGTGGTTTGGCATTGTTTTATCGGATTATGCAAATTTTCAGACGCCGAAACATCTTTCTACTCAAGAATTCGTTGATTCCCTCTTTCTTACCTGCAAAACAAAAGGCTGCTGCTGCTACAAGCCATGGCGGCTCATTTCATTCCACGCCTTTTACCTGTGAAAAATGGAAGAACAAATGGAATTTTGTGAGCGTTTCTTCTTCTTCTTACCTTGGTTTATTTATTTTTTATGTTTTAAATGCTATGGGTGAGCTTGAATTTGGATTTTTATTTTCATTGAAAAACAAGTTCATGAATTTGTATTAGAAATATTGATGGGTTCTCTGCAATGAATATGCCATCTTTTTAACTAAGTGTTCTGTGAATGACCGTGCTGACATCAAAATTAGACATGTTAAAAATGTCTAATTGGTGATTTCAAGTATTTAATGAAATAGTACTTCGAATTATCTAAAGGCTGAAGCAATTGATATGTTCAGCCTATGGAGCAAATCGACCAACTGTTAGATGATTGAATACTCATGTATACTGTTACTGTTAGCAATTTCCAACCTTTCCCCCAAATTGTTTATTCCTAGTTCTGATCAAAGTTGTTTTCTGTGTGAACAATTATTCCTACTTCTTACTCCCCTCTGGACTGGGAACAGCATAGAATTGAGCTTTAGATTTCAGTAATGTGGTAATGAATTTTGGATAATTATGTACTTTTCCGAGAAAGTTCGACAATTAACACTGATTTTTACAGGATAAAAGAAGCACTCAACAACCAACTAAGGTATGCAGCTTTGCAGGCTTTCTCATTTGCTCATGTATCTCTTAATTATCTTGAATGTTGATCCTGTTATATGAGATAGGTGTGTCTTAAGATTGATATTATTCTAGGCCTGGCATTTCGGCTCGGTCTGTTGGTGCATGATCTTTGTGTTCTAAGAGCATTGTTTGAATCCCCCTTTCCCACAATAGAATAATAAAAAGAAGATTCGTACTTAGACTGGGAACTTTTCTATAATCATTTAGTGCAAATAGACGCCTAATGCATCTCAGGAAATTATTTGCCGTGGTTAATTTTAATGTTTATGTTGGTCAAGTTATGGGCGTCATCTTCTAATAGGTTAAGATACTGCTATTTGTTAATTTCATTCTTCCTAAGTAGCTTTGTATGAACACTTTGCATTCTTCTGTCAGTTTACTTTCTTACTTCATTTGTTGTTTTCAAAAATAGAACTTTTCTGGCATTTCAAATATGAATGCAGAGTTATGAAAGATATGCAATACGTCAAAAGCGTGCTGAAACAAAGAGAGCTTTGAGAAATCTTTTCTTTAGTGACCGAGCCTCGAATATTTCATTTCAGGTAAACTTTTCTTGGACTCTTGTTTGATTTAGAACACTTACCTTATTGAAGGTGTTCACTTACATTGTCTCCATGCACTGTTTACATTCCCGGAGTTCTAATAAGTAAAGCAAGCTGGAACATTGCTTGAATTTCAACATAAGTGCATGCCTTGGAATTAATTTTAGTTTTTTCATTGTCTGCATTGCTGTAATTTAAATTATCTTATTTCGCACCACATTCCTGTGAAATATCCAAATAGACTCCAAGCATAGAAGAAGCTTATGATTTTAGTTACGCTGTTGAAAGAATAAAGTTGCAGCCTTTTGGAAGTGGCTAATGACAAGTTCGATCTCACTTTTTTAAGACTAAAGGTCATTTACTTCCCAAATAAACTAGTGGTCTCAAGTGTACAGCACCGATACCTTTATCCTGCTGCTCAATTACATTATACCCGAGATTGGGCTTATGCATTTCACTAGTACCTGAAAGGACATTATTGACTTATGCATGCCTTTGGCTGCTACATAGGATGAAGATCCAATATGGAAATTTGATGGGACAGACCGCTGGGATTCAGATGGCTCTGTTAAGAAGAACCAGTCGAGGTTTTCTGGACGATGTGCTGGGAAATCTAACTGCAGGAAAAGTAAACGTGAGCTTCAACTTTTTTCTCTCTTTAAATGATTTTAAAAAAATAACAATTGCCTCTTTCATGCATTATTTTCAGAGCTGAACCGGATATCTTTTTATATCCTGAATTATCAGCAACATAAAATAACTTTAGAGTTTCCTTGTGCACAGTAGTATCTGGCTTTGTTGGTATAATCTTAATGTTTTATTCATCGATCTATTATTTCAAAACAATGAGTAATTAACTCAGTCTGACATGATCGCAACCAATTACATCATTTCTTTCGTGTACAATTTACTGAATTTAGTAGGACGAAGGACGGAAAGGGGATTTGAATGTGTTCTTGTGCAATTACAGCTGCTCGTTTGAAAGTAGTATCTAATCTCATTAGTGAAATGCGGATTAATTTTCCTGCGTTTTAACAGTGGCATGCCCATCGGTGAAAAAACTTTTTCTTGTTCGATGGAATGTTGACTTCATATTTATCTATCAGACTAGATAAATAAGAATTTAAAGGAATCAGAGCTTTGGTTTGTTTATATAATCTTCATGTTGTGTATAATGCCTGGATATCAACCAATTGTTTGAGACAATAATAGATTAACAAGCTAAAATTTTACGACTGCTTGGCCTCATTTGTGACTAAGAAGTTAGACGTCTTTCTTTTACATGCACAGGACGGCTTAGAAGAGAGAGTTTCTCGGAGGACTTTGATAATCCCGAGACTATATTCGAATCTACATTTGGGAACAAGTGGTATACTTGGTCTTTTAGGGGCGATTTTACTTTCCGAAATTCAGAATCTGAATTTGAGTGGATAGAAAAATCGGACCGTACTAATCGAAGAACAGGAGAGCAGGACACTCCTAGTGAAAATGAGTCCGAGGATAAGGAATATGCAGTAGTGGGATCATGTTCTGATAGAGTGATCCTTGGACTACCTCCAACTGGCAGCTTAAAGCTCGAAGATGTTAAAAAGGCGTAAGTACTTTGCCTGTTTGAGTGTTTTCATGTTTAGTTTTACCTTTTCTCCACCTTTTTTATTTTATTTTAAATGATGTATTGTAAAATCATTAAAATCATCTTGCAGCTTCCGCTTATCAGCTTTGAAGTGGCATCCTGATAAACATCAAGGTCCTTCACAGGTTAGTTATATCCTTTTCAAGAACAATATGCTTATGCACTTGACTTAGTCGTGCCGATCAGTTGCGGCAAGTCGCATGATATCGACGTATTTACGCAGGCAATGGCTGAAGAGAAATTTAAAACATGTGTTGCAACATACAAATCATTATGTCATGCTTTAGCCCGAGGCGATTAGTATTCCTTCGAATTTAAGCTCCAAGTAGAGAATAACTACAACAGTAATGTATACTTTTTTCTTTTGTAATCTTTTAAATAAGCAATTCTCATCCACCCAAGTTCTCTTCAAAAGTTACAGTTTTTGGTCTCATAATTAACAATGGGCCATATATGTATTTTTAACAAGGGAACAGAAATTTTATAGCTTAAATAAAACATATGTATTTGCTTATGCAGGCGCACGAGTGAAATAATTACTACTTTATCAGAAAGTTCTAACCTTGTTGAATGCTGAGGCAATTCTACACTGAGTCATGCTTTACAATCACAAGCAAACCAATCAAAACAAACCATTTCCCACTTTTTTTCCTCACTTTTCGAAAGCTTAAAAATAGTTTATTTGAAAAACACAGTTTATTCCACTCACTTTGTCTCGCATAGTTTATTCTAAACATATGATGATGAACCTATACATTTATGGCCATGCTGTATCAAAAGAAACTTCTCAAAACTCAAATATGCTCTCCACACAACTATTTTACAGACGCTACACTCTGGACCCTGACTCACTTTAACAAAATTTAAGCATTCAAAAAAGGAAATTTCACTATTTGTCTCACTATCAACCAATATTTGCCATTGGAGAAGGATCATTACCTACAATTCGATAAGCATCTCCTTCTCCTCCTCCATCGATGTTTCTGGTTTCATCCCGAGTTTGATCAACATTCTCGCTTTCACCATCCTCCGTTGTTGCTGATTCTTGATGTGGTCGTTCTTCTTGAGCAGCCATCATGTGAATCAAAAGTTCTTCGGGTTTTAATTCATAACCGGAATTAACCGAGCCATCAATCCTTTTAGTTTTTTCTTTGTATAGAGCATCTAGTCGATTAAAGTAAGGACATGTCTTGGAATCCTGAGGGCGTTTCTTATTGCTTTCTTTCACTCTTTTGAAGTACTTGTTCATATTCTCCCATTTCTCTTTGCACCTCTTAGCACTTCGGTTGTAGCCAAGTTTTTCATTGCTGTCGATATCCTCCCATAGAGGGCCTTTGGGTCCATTGTCTTGATATTGCAAATCAAGAGTAGTCCTCAATCTTATCAAAGCCTCCGCTTCATCTTTGGGCCAACGAGAACTACTTAGGTGCATATAACTCTCGCTACCATTGCTATTTTCTTGCCTATCAACGGCTTTCTCGACAGCGAATGTGGTCTCGGGCAATTGCACCGAGGTTGATTGATCCGAAAACTTCTGTAGAAATGCTAGCACGGCAGCATCTTTAGCTGCTGCAATGGATCTCTCTTGCACCAAAAGCTCGCGCTCCCTCTTAATCCGAGCCAATTCTTGTACCTTCCATGCTTCCTCTCTAGTCATCCTATCCTGTTCAAACTTCTCTATTGCCTCTATAAGCTTCTTCTGCAAATTCTCTTGCTTCTCCATCATCTCCCTCATCAACCCCTCGAAATAGTCTGTCAGTTTCCTCTTTTTCTTTCTAGTCCCTTCCGATTCATCCGGTTCCTTACTGGAAGAAGAAGTCATAGAGGTAGAGGTTTCATTGAAATTCAAAGCTGGGTTTTGGACCGAAAACGGAATAGCATCATGGATAACATTCAAAGGCTCTACTGGGGTGTTGAAATTCCCACTGGCAGGTGCGAGCAAAGAAGGTTGATGATCCAATGCTTCTAATTGCTCAAAAAACCTATAATTCTTCCCATTTAATTTTCCGGACCGACCTCCTTTGGTTCTCCTGTGGTATTTGTAGATATTCTCAAATTTCTCTTTACATTTCTTGGCACTTCTAATATATCCCAGCTCAGCCATTTTCCTGATAAAAAAAACCCCATTATTGCACCTCAAAGTTAATTACTTTAACTTACCAAATTAATGTAATAAACTGAACTTAACTAACTATAAATATTAAAGATAATAGATTATTGAACCTGGGAGTGAATTTAAAACAAAATAGCATAAAAAACACTTTTTTTGCCCATAAAACTTTTTTACTGTATTTACAGCTCTCTAAGTTCTTTCAAAATAGTGCAATTAAACTAGAAGGAATTCAATATCCCAACATAAGTAAAACCCAAATGTTTCCATATTTTCTGTGTAAAACCCTACATTTCCCAGTAAATTTTCTCAGAGAAAAAAAATCCAAACATGGTTCAGATGAAAAAAAAGTAATAAAACCTGGAAACTTCTTCCCAGAGAGGAGACTTGACACCGGAGTCTCTAAAAACGACGTCCATTTCAGACCTTATCTTCAACAAAGCTAAAGTCTCTTGCATCGGCCAACGGTTCCCTGAAGAAAAATTCCGTTCACTCTCTTCATTCTCTAAGCTGACGTTGTCGGCGACTGTATTGTTTTCTGGGAAACTTGGATTTTCCATCATCACCAAACAGAGCAGTTCAGTAAATTAGTTTACAGTCCCCCAAAACTTAAAAAAGGAAAAAAAAGTGAAATTTTAATTGGGTTTTGCTTGAAGGTTTTGACAAAGTAAATATTTTTAGATTTATGGGATGGGTTTTTCTTTTGCCTTAAGAATTCTACCATTTTATTGGGTCAAGTAGGTAAGAAAGGTTGAGGTGAATTAGGGTTTCTTTTATAAGATAAGATGGGGACTGTGTGTGGGGCTGAAACCAAGCTGGTATTTTTTTTTCACATTGTTCATATTGTTTATAATTATGTTAAAATGGTAATAATTCAAAAATTTTATTTAAATAGTATGATTATAAGATAATATTTGTACAAAATCTTATTATATAACATTATATAGACGTAACTGTTTAAATCAGTAACTTCTAAAAAAATTAATATATCTGAACACTGTCAGGTTTAATTTTATCTACCATTTTGTCTTTGACTTTTTGAATGTTTGGATTCAAATAGTTTGGTCAACGCAAGTGTGCTTTGAGCAATTTGAGCACGAAAAGATACTTGGACTCTTGGCAAACCATTTGAAAAATTGAAAATTTGCATTAAATTTCAAAATTCAGTTAAGAATTAATATCATATTAATCATTTTTATATTTAAAACATATAAGTCTTGTGTCATATTAAACTATACATGTTAAAGAGAACAGTCCTAAATCTTAGTTATACCACAAAACTAAAATATTTTCATTTAAATAATTAAATCTTCAATCTTAATGGTTAAAAAGAGTGTTGTTCTCCTTCGATGAGGGTTCGAGAAGTTGTGTCTGCAGGGTGAAAATTGTCGATGACTAAGAAATAGTGTGAATGTATATTATTTATAATCATCCTAAATTATTAAAAAAAAAAAGTTGTTCGTAAGAAAATCTAGAAAAATAAGATGATTTTACGTAAGAAGTGTAGAATTGGTTCACGAAATCGTTTGGTATACGGAGATGTTTTCACATTACCTAGCAAGTATCAACTTTTTAATGCAAAAGTCTAAGCTTTCAAGCATGGTTAAAAAATTCATAATGTGGTCTTAAACTAACCAACGCATTTGCATGGGACCCATTTGATTGCGACCCACGGGATTAAAATATCTACACTTACAACTAATTTCTAATTATTTCGTTTTATATTGGTTAATAATAAGGGCAAAGTACACAAATGATCTCTCGATTATATAATATCATTTTATTAAGTCTCTTAACTTTTAAAAGTTATAAAATAGTCACTTGATTATTCATATGTTCTAAACTTGTCATTTTTCGTTAAAAATTGACGGCCTTTGAGTTGGACGTTAACATGCTGAATGAGATATGATAAAAATCTGATATATAACCGTTTGAGCTTTATTTTGTGAATCAAGTATTTATTTATATTATGTCGTCGAGTCAGTGCTTAGAAGTAACAACGATGTCTATAGACATTAATAAAATATGATTTTATCATATCTCAAACAGTATGTTAACGTACAACTTAGGTTGTTGTCATTTTTTTAATGAAAAATGACATTTTTGGAATATATGAATTGTCGAATGACCATTTTGTAACTTTTAATAGTCGAATGACTCAACAAAGCAACACCTTATAATTAGGGGACTATTTGTGTACTTTACCCTAATAATAAATATCATGTTCAAAATGCTTTATTTTTTATACTATAGGATAAAATACACAAATGGTCCCTCGAGTATAAGATACTATTTTGTTGAGTCCTCCGATTATTAAAAGTTACAAAATGGTCTCCCAATTATAAGAAGCTATTTTGTTGAGTCCCTTGACCATTAAAAGTTACAAAATGATCATATGACTATTCATATGTTTCAAACTCGTCATTTTTCGTTAAAAATTTGATAGTTATATGAGCTAGACGTTAACCTATTAACTGAAATATGATAAATAATATTTTAATGATGTCTTATGGCACCGCCATTGCTTTCAAGAACTGACTTGACGATATAATGTTTCAAGCACTTGCTCGACGACATAATATAAATAGAGAGTTGATCCACAAAATATAGCTCAAACGATTTAAGATCATATTTTTATCATACCTCAGTCAACAAGTTAACATCCAACTCAGACTACCTCAAATTTATAACGAAAAATGACAAGTTTGGAACATATGAATAGTCATATGGTCATTTTATAACTCTTAATATTTGAGAGACTCAACAAATCAATGTCCTATAGTTGAGGGATTATTTTATAATTTTTAATAATCAATGACTCAACAAAGCAATACCCTATAACCAGTAGACCATTTGTATATTTTACCCTATACTATAAAACTTCATTCATAAGATGTAGGTTTTAATTAAGCCACCTCATCAGTAGTAAAATACAAGTAATGCAACACATTATTGGTTCACAGCTGGAGGGACAAATAAACCTTACCTTAGATCAACTCTCTAACTCTAATTAATTACATTTCGCATCAAATTCCGTGCTAATAATTGCAATTACAACGAGACACCGATTTGAAGGTTTAAAATATGATTTATTTTAATACTTAAAATTAATTTGTATCAATATTTTTATGATTTATTCTTTTTAAAAAAATATTATTATTATTATTATTTTGGTGGCGTGATCTTTAAAATATATCGTCTCAATTAATTTGATATTTCCTTTTAAAATTAAAAAAAATGGTTTGAGAAGTTATCACAAATCTTTGATTAAGGTGTGATTGGACACTCCAAAACGGTTGTTGTTTTAATAAAATATTAATTTAAATTTTATTAAAACAATATTTTTAAGTCCACGTTCCAAAGAGTTAAGTTCGGGAGTTGATTACGCATGGAGAAGAGTTAATATCCCCACAGTGCCCTAAATCGGTACCTAGTCGATTGATTAGTTGTCTTTGCTATGAGATTTACAAGTTAGAATTTAATTTAATTTAATTTAAGATCCCTTTAAATAATACTTCTTGAATTTTAGGAAGAAAAACGATAATATTTAATTATTTCATATTGAGAAGAAAAGATTTTTCATGCATTAAAGCAGTCATTTCTTACTCCAATCGAAATAAAGACATATCATTATTCCATTCTTAAATTCATTATTAATTCAAATTTGTAACATCCCAAAATACGGGTTAGTGACTAAATTGTAAAACTTCAGAATGTGATGATTAAGTAAGATATTTGAATAGTGTAATGATTTGTTCGGAAATATTTCCTGAAAATAATTAATAATTATCAAAGGAATTAAGGGGCAAAATGGTCATTTAACATGAAAGATATTTTGTTATCTCTTTATGAAGAGATAAACGTTGGGGGGGAGTATTTAGAAAACTCTTCTTCTTCTTACCTTCTTCTTCTCCAACGTGCAGAGCATAAGGTGAGTTTTCTATTTGTTGGTTATTTGTTAAATTGAAGATTAGGTTTTGATCATTAGATGATAACTAAGCTTAAGGAAAGCTTAAGTTGTCTTATAATCAAAAGATGAAGAAGTTATAAGAGATTTAAGAAAACGAGTTTTTATATGAAATCATGGAATAGAGTTGATAAGTTGAATTTGACTTGTCATCTATGAGAATAAGAAGATAGAAGTATTAGAATTGTATTTAGAACATATTAAAATTTGAGTATGATTCTTGAATTACATATGAAGGATAGGATTTTGAAGTTATAGATGATTTTCATGGATATAAGTTGGTTTAAGTAATGGTAGTTGAGTTTAATGACATGATAGGGGTTTAAAATAGAAGAATTAAGTGAAGAATTGATGATTTTCGGGGTTAAAATACAATTTCTGGGTAGAGGGAACCGATACCCTATGAAGGGAATCGATTCCCCCTCTTGGACGAAAATTCCAGTATGTGCAGGGGAACAGATTCCCCCTGGGGGGATATCGATTCCCCGGGAACAGATTCCCCCTAAATGAAAAAATGGAATTTGATTCATTAAACCTATTTAAGTTATTAACATCAAGTTTAAAGTTTAGGCTTCTGATAGTTGTTTTGAAATGATATATTTATGTAGATATTGAGCCTAAACAAGTTCCAGAATAATCAAAGGATTATAATCGAATCAAAGCAAGGCTAAGGTGAGTGTAATTTTAATTGTACTTATATTATTGAACGAACATTGGCTTGCGATGAGCCAATGATGGATTTACTATGGTAAGAAGTGACTCCTAAAATGTTATTTGATATGTGACTCTTATATGTACATGAATACATGATAAGCATAAATATAAGAGCATGAAACATAAGATATATGATATGATATACATGATTATATGCATATGTGATATATGTTATGAGATATGACCAATGTGAATATATGAAATGACATATGAATATGCAATATGTGATATGATATGAAATATATGGTTACACATACATGTGGTATGTGACAGAAGAGAAAGAACAAGTGATGAGAAATATATTCATAATAAATGCCCATAGTATATGATACGAGAGCTATAGGTATAGTTGACATGCCAAGAGTCGAGGGTATTGTAGTCATTCGGGACGTAGTGGTCCTACGGGACATATATAGCAGTCCTTCGGGACGAATACTGAACAAATGTTCAGTGCCCCATGAGGGAATTTATACGAGCTGTGGTGACAGCATTTGGTGCACAACCTCAATGTACTCGCATACCTCTATTCTCAGTAATATACATGGGCAACAACAACAACAATTGAAATATAAATTAAAGTGAAAGTGATGCAAAAAGGTAAGTTTCATGTGTGCATGACTTGATTATATATGTCATAGGAAATATATCCATGCATATTGAAATATCATGATCAAATAGTAAGAATACATATTCATGAATCTACTGTTACATGTTTATTTATTGCCTCACTAAGTCTATGACTTAGCGTGTAAGTGATTTACACGTAGGTACCAAGAAACGTGAAGAGCAAGAATAGAAGTAGCAAGGACAATATTATTACTAGAAGATCAGATCAGAAGTAATCTACAAAGTATGTATTTTATTGTGTATAGAATGTTGGCATGTAATAGGTCGTTAATTATGAGTACACTGATCAAGTTTGTATTTTGTGGTCTCTTTTATGTAAATTAAAGTATTTTGTTTTAAACAAGTTTTAAATTCCCCGGGGTTTTTCTTTAAGTGTCAAGGTTTGAAAAGTCAATGTGATACCTCAGACTCGTATTCGGGTCGGGTACGGGTTGAGGTGTTACAGAATGCATAAATGATGATAAAATAAAATAAATTAAAAATTACCAACGAAATAAAGAAATATCATTATTCCATTCAAAAATTCATTATTAATTCGAATGCATGAATGATGATAAAATAAAGTAAAATAAAAATAAATTACCAATCCTTTTAGAGATAAAAAGGATGTTCGATTATTTAAAGGCATCGAGATTGGACCTTTTATAAGTTCTAACGATCTTTTCTCGAAGAATTTAAATAGACGAATATTTCTTTCGTTTCCAAATTTTAAGCGTAATCAATTTTTCGGGTTTTACTTGACGGGACACATTTTTATTTTAAAATTATCGAAAGTGATTTTCTTATAAGTCAAGACAATCACTTCACACAACCATAAAATTAAAAGGTGTTACCCTTAATCCAATTATTTGAATTAAATCAAGTTATACTTGTGAGGATCATACATATTATGCGGAAGTGATGTCATGTGACTAAAAATATTGAAGCATACATAGGAAAATAACTACCATGAAGAATAAAACAATCACGTAATAATAAAATATGTGTATTTAACAAGATATTATAAGCTTGTATACATGTCATAACATATAATATACGCGTGACTTATGTTTACCAAATAACAAACATAAATTATATTAAATACATACATGTTTCGGAAAGCAAAGATATAAAACCACGCGTACCATACAAAAATATTGATAAAATAAAACAAAATCTTTGGAGGCTAAGTGCACCAAGTCTAGTGTCAAAATCATGGACTAAAATGAATGAAGTTATAAGGGAATAGATTCAACTCTCGGGGCTAAACAAATATGCGCATTGTAAACACCTATTTTTATTCGGACAAAAAAATATTATACCATTATTATTATTATTATTTTATATATATTTGTTGGGTTGTAGTATGATAGATTATCTACTTGGAATCCCATGAAATCCGCTGTACTTGACCCCATTATCTGACATTAGAGAGTAATGGCTTTGTGGGTCCTTAAAAAGTGGGTTTTAGGTGCATTGGTGGCTCCTGCCACTTGCTTGATAAGGCACGGCTGCTCTAGCTTAGTGGGGGGCGGGGGGGATGGCGACGAGAGAAGCCATTTTCCATGGCTTCAACGTTGGCGACGTCTCTCTCTCCTCCGCCGGTACCTATGGAACTCCAAGTATCCAATCGTCAAAAGCTGCTCAATTCTATTCGCCAACACCTTTCCGACGCATCTCGCCCCCATCACGACTTCGTTCTCCTCCAGGGAGGTGAAGAGAAAACGCGCTATTGCACTGATCACCTCGAGCTCTTCAGGTTACCTGCTGATTATGCTGTTTGGATGGGAGAAATAAAGCCAGTTTCCTACTTTCAGGAAAGGTACATGGTTAGCATGGTAAACTACACTGATGAGATTGCTCAGGTCTTGGTTGACCAATACAAGGGTTCTGGAAAACCTTTATTGTTCCTCTTACATGGGGTTAACACCGATAGCAATAATTTCTCAAAACCTACAGAGTTTGAGGGAATAGAAAAATTTGAGACAGATTTAACAACTCTGCTTCCTATATTGACCGAGTGTCGAGTTTGCAAGTCAGACTTGGAGCTTGCTCTTATCCAATTTGCCAACGATATAAGTTCTGAAGCTCATGTTGAGGTTATGAGAAAAACCAAATTAGGCATGAAAGAGCATCAACTGGAAAGCATGTTTCTTCGTCATACCTATATGTACGGAAACGGTAGGCACTGTTCATATACATGTATTTGTGCTACTGGTGAAAACAATTCTGCTCTACATTATGGACATGATGCTGCTCCTAATGACAGGATCTTAGAAGATGGAGATATGGCCATGCATTTGAGGTAGGAGCCCGCCGTCTCTTAAGTGTACCATATTTTACACATTTTTTTAACATTTTTTTCTCTTAATTTATTTTTTTCTCTTTAATTATTTAGTATTTATTTTTTTAATCTAACATTTTTTTTTATTTTTTTAGGGATAATTTTAACAAATAAAAGGTAAATGATTTGAATTGAGTATTTAAATTTTAATTTTAATTTTTGCAATTAAGATAACCGACAAATTAAATGGTATCGAAAGGGCAGTTTAAGGGTGCTAATCCTTCCTTGACTGTAACCGACTCCCGAATCCGACACATTTATGGTAAAACGCATATCAGGTAAAATGGTGTTCGATCAACCAATTTTTCATAAAAAATGATCGGTGACGGCTCTAACGTTTTTTTAAGTCGAAGCCCAATTTTAGGCCCACCCGAAAGAGGGTGGCGACACACATCATTACAATATGGGATTAAATCGAGCAAGAAATAAATAAGAAAGCTCAAGTATACTTTTTTTTAAAAAAAAAGAGCTTATATCACAAAGAAACAAACATGTTTAAGGACGAAAATTAAATTATCATAATATTCATGGCTCAAGTTAATAAAGATAAAACCAATACGAAATTTTGATTCAAGACCTTCAACAAAGCATCTCGATGTGCCTCAGAGCTCAATAGAAGAGCAAGGATCGAGATACAAGCATGTAGCTTGTGCAACTGTTCAACGATGCTATATTCGTTGTGTTTCAAGAATTTCAAAAATTCCACAACCTCGTTCTCGGTCACTGGCTCGTTGATGGCTGGTTCATCCACTTTCATCAATAAGTCAACTTTCTTTCCTTTATCAGTGGTAGATCGTTTCTCACGTTCTTTGGGTTGAACTGAGGATTAACATCTCTCACTCCTAGTGAAATGGCATACTTGCCCCATTTATTCTTTCTCCTTCTCCATATTGTCCATCTTACACTCATATTTCCAAGGAACTTGCTTATTTTCTTTGTAAGGAAATGGAGATGGGTTTATCACAAAAAGTAAATTTCATCACAATTAAGTTAAATTATAACATCAAACAAAAAATGTTTTAGTGACAAAAAGACATATTACAACAAAATTTATTTTCTCAATATTTTTATTTCGTCACTAAATTTTTTTATAACTTTTTACTGTGACTAAATAATTTTGTTAAAATTTGTTGTTGTGAAAGAATATTACTTGTCACAATTTTTTATGATGATAAATTAATATTTGTTATTGTGAAAGAATATTACTTCGGAACTACTTGGCTTTACTCCATAACCAAGTCCACGAATGTAACCATATTTTGAATTTAAAACTTTTTCTAAAATTTGACGTCCGTTGTCCGATCAACCAATTTTTCATAAAAAATGATCGGTGACGGCTCTAACGTTTTTTTAAGTCGAAGCCCAATTTTAGGCCCACCCGAAAGAGGGTGGCGACACACATCATTACAATATGGGATTAAATCGAGCAAGAAATAAATAAGAAAGCTTAAGTATAATTTTCTTTTTAAAAAAAGAGCTTATATCACAAAGAAACAAACATGTTTAAGGACGAAAATTAAATTATCATAATATTCATGGCTCAAGTTAATAAAGATAAAACCAATACGAAAGTTTGATTCAAGACCTTCAACAAAGCATCTCGATGTGCCTCAGAGCTCAATAGAAGAGCAAGGATCGAGATACGAGCATGTAGCTTGTGCAACTGTTCAACGATGCTATATTCGTTGTGTTTTAAGAATTTCAAAAATTCCACAACCTCGTTCTCGGTCACTGGCTCGTTGATGGCTGGTTCATCCACTTTTATCAATAAGTCAACTTTCTTTCCTTTATCAGTGGTAGATCGTTTCTCACGTTCTTTGGGTTGAACTGAGGATTAACATCTCCCACTCCTAGTGAAATGGCATACTTGCCCCATTTATTCTTTCTCCTTCTCCATATTGTCCATCTTACACTCATATTTCCAAGGAACTTGCTTATTTTCTTTGTAAGGAAATGGAGATGGGGGTGTGATTATCACCTTAGGAGTTACTTTTTCTACCACACGAGTTTTCGATGTGATAATTAAGGGACAATTGGCATTGTAAACTCCCCTAGAAAAAACCCTCGGATGCATAGATCTCTATTTCTTCTTCGTCAGTGGCTTATTTGTAAAACTTCATTTTCTTATCATCCATCATCCTTTGTACTAGAGCTTGGAACTCAGGACAATGTTGTATGGTGTGTCCTTCATGATTGTGAGAATGACATGCATTCTCATTCTTAACTTGTTCAGCTGCTAGATTAGGGACCAATAGACACGCCTTGATCATTTGACCCTTGATCATTTGACCCCATATCCAATGCATTGGTGATTTTAACTCATTCACCTTTGTTATGATTTTCTCTCATCTTTCCTCAGCAAGTACCTGCATGGTTTGACAGTAGGTTCTGAGCCACGATTGGTTACTCGCTATCACTAAAGTTTATGATGTTCTTTGTTCTCAATCGTTGAACGATCTTCTTAAAGGAAGTTTAATTCTCAATTGAATGTCTAGGAACCCCTGCGTGACACTCACATTGGACGTTAGCATCATACCATTTAGGGTAGGGAGGTTGTAGAGGTGACACATGGTAAGGTGACACCACGTCTGTCATATAATATATGGAATAACTCATTGTAGGACACAGGGATCAAATCAAATTGAAGATTCTCTCTCTTTCCTTGGCTCCCTTGCCATCTGCTTAGCAAAATTTTGTGTAGATGATCACGTGGATTGTGATCGAGACACAATGATGTTATTGAAGTCATATTTTCTCATGTTGTTGACCTCATTATCTTTCTTTATCACTGGCGGTTTCTTGCTAGACTCACCTCCATCGAGTCTCCCAGTCTTAATTTACATCTCAATCATCTCTCCAGCTGTAACTAAGTCAACAAAACTCTTAGATGAATTCCCTATGAGGTGGCTAATGAAAGGAGCTCTTAAAATGTTTATAAAGAGCATGTTTGTTTCTTCTTCTTCAAGTGGTGGATGAACTTGTATAGCCACGTCTCTCCATATCTAAGCATATTGTCTGAAGCTCTCATTGGATATCTTTTCCATGCTTTGTCGTATAATTCGATTGTGCCTCACATGCTTATATTTCTCAAGAAAAGCTTTGGCCAAATCTTTCCACGACCTGATATGAACCCTGCTCAGCTTATTGTACCAACGAATAAATGATCCTGCCAAACTCTCTTGGAAGCAATGAATCAACAGTTGATCATCCCCTATGTAACCATTCATTTCCCTTCAGAACATTGTGATGTGAGCAGAGGGGAATCTCATGCCATTGAATTTCTCAAAGTTAGGAACTTTGAACTTCAGAGGCAACACCAAGTCAGGAACCAGACTCTACTCCTTAGCATCGATTCCATACACACTACTATATTCCTTCATAGCCCTGATTTCCCCCTCTAGCTGTTTCCACTTCTCTTCTAGCTGTTTGTTTTGCTCTAACCTAGTTTCTTCACCAAAATCTAGGACTTGGTGATGCTGATGTTCTTCCTGGTGTGAGCTAACTCTAGGATATAAGTTCATAGATGCACCAACTGGATTAATGTGCACATTCCGTTTATGAATAGGTGTTTCTTAGAGTGTCTAAGATTGAACCAGGGTGAACCCAAGTGGGTAGAGTGGTCTCTCAGTCACAGTTTCAGGCATCGAGCCTTTTCCATGCTTCAAATTCCTCCCTTCAAGTAGACTAGAAAACTTAGTAAACATTTATCTCTGGGCTTTCAACATATCTTCTTACATATTTTTCATGTTTTCTTGTATATCTTGCCGAGTTTTATCAATTTGGGCAATTTTTTCATCTATTGCTTTTTCCTGGTGTTGTACGGATGCTTGGAAGTTCCCAATATTCTGTCATAAAATCTTCTTTATTAAAGTTGATATTTTATTAATGAATATGAAAAATACGACTATGAATTAATAGAATGTAATGTGTAAGGTAAAATGCAAGGTGAAAATTAAAATACAGACGTAAAATACAAGGTGTTAATTCTAGAAGGATTCCTTAGAACAACTTTTTATATTATAAACAAAGTTATTTTACAAGGTTTAAACATATCACAAATAGATCTTCACTATTTCCCCTAATTGTTGCATATATCCAAGTAACTCCAGAATCCTCTGAGTTTCTTTAGTTTTGAACAAAATCAATTAATTCTTTATTACTGAGATTAAAATCAATTAATTCTTTATTTATTGAAATTATCTATTTTATGTTATTAGTATTTCCTTTACGCAGAAAAAATTTGCATATCTTATTCATGAAGGATGTGACCGTTGAATCTCTGCAAAAAAAAAATCATTCATATAATTTATCTTTACGCTTGAAGTATAATTTATATATTTATGTTTAGTTGTGATTTCTATTTTTTTTATCTATCATTTTTATTATGCTATAATTTTTTGTTGTGGTCACCACTTGCATATTTAACGATATCTAAAATATTCTTATCTAATCTTTCAAATGATATATTATCTGAGATTTTACGATACATTATTGATAATTGTATTGATGATTTCTTACACCTCCACTTAACTTAGTAAGACGTTTGCTTGGCTTCAAATTCAAACTGTGTATTTTACAAATATTTGATTGTATAATGTCTTGAAATCTTCGGATTATTGTAAATATTTGCTATTACGAAAGATTTTTCTTTCAAAAAAAAATTCTCAAGTCTTCTTTAGGAAAAAATATATTAGAGTGTTTTTCAAGTACTATGTAACACCCCCAACCCGTATCCGACCCGGATACGAGTCTGAAGTGACACATTGACTTTTTAAACATTTATTCGTATAAAATAGTGGGTAATTTAAAAACTTTGATAACATTTAAATTATTTCCAAACGTTTACGACAGATATCAGAGTTCATACCATTTATATCTTTAGACTACATGCCAACTACACTCTGTAAACAGTACATACATTTTCTGATCTGACATTTGGTAAGGAAAACTGACCTGTCTTGCTCC